CAGAGAAGAAGAATGAGAGAGTATCGAGAAATATACATAAAGAAAGATATATTAAGAGAAAGTAATAAAAGAAAAAATGAGTGTGAGAAAAAAAATTATTGTTATTGTAGAAGAAAATAATTGTAGAAATTTTATTTTGTTATTTTTTGAAATAACTTGAATTATTTTTGAGGGAATCTAAGTTTATATAGTTTTAAAAGTACCATGATCATTCTAGTTTTAACCTGAAATAAACAAAAGCACAAAAACAAAATTGTTTTTTTTTATTGTGATACGCGACGCGATAATAATCATGTGAGTGATCATACTACATTACACTAGCATAATTTTTGAGATGATTTTCAATAGTAATATTGAAAGTAAGAGGTCAAAAAGGAAATTTTACTGTAAAACGCCTATAAATTTCCTTTTTAACCCTAAGAAATCAAATAAATCTGCCCATATGCACAATTAGTTAAATTACGATTGAGAATATGGAAATCTAATCAACTCATTTAAAACAATAAATATTAATTGTAGTAAGACAATTAAATTAATTTTATATAAGAATGTGTTCAAGAGTTTAAAATAATTAAAAATTAAACTTATTATAATCTAAATTAATCAACTTAAAAAAATAGATTATAGCAAGAAAAAAACAGATCGATTTATAAATCGAAATATAATTATTCATTTATATTTAAATTATTATTAATGAATTATAGAATTTAATGATGAATCGGGAAGGTAGTTCTTATTTAATTATTCACTAATGCAATGAATTTATTAAACAATTTGTGTAATATCATTTTCTTTCTTATTTTCTGAATTTAGATCTTTCCAAGGCTTATTTTTATTGTTAAATATCTCGAGAACAGATTCTTTGTTAAAGGTTATCATTCACCCTTAACTATTCATCTGAACAATTATTATCTAAATCCAAAATATTTTCATTAGACTTTCATAATTAATAATTAATTATCAATATGAATAATAGATAATAATACAAGAGATACTCTATTAGATATAAAGTTAATAAAAACATTAATTTTCTTTGATTGTTTGAGATCTTCTAAAAATTAAAATAGAGCTGTATTTTGATTTTGTATTAGAAAATTCTTTTATATTCTCAAACTCTTTAATGACTTTTTCATATTTCTCTAGTAAATCTTCAAATATATGTAATGACATTTGCAGAATTATTTTATTTTTTTCATTGATCCACACTCAGTAAGTGTAATTCTTTTTAGACATAAATTCTGGTACAAGTATTTTTAATAATTATAATTATGTCTATTTAAAAGATTGTATGAGGAATAAAGAAAGAGGATAAATGAATGAAGAGAGTAAGTGAGCGAAAAAAATAAATTAATTTAAATGTAAAAGTATAGAATATATTTAAAGTGAATTAAATCGTCTTTTTTTTTAAAAAAAAAAAATTAAAAAAAACAGACTTTTATTTTTTATTTTTTTCTTTTGATAATTTAAAAATAGAAACTATTTTTAAACTGTAGTTTAAATAACTCAATTACATAATTATAACTTCATTGTTTTATCATTAATTACACTAATAATTATTTGTGATCATTTCTTTTTTTTACATCTATTGTGCATCTTTATAAACAAAAAGAAGGTTGTTATTTATAATTATCCTAAATTTTTTTTTAAAAAAAAGATTCAAATGGATATTGGCTTCTATAAATTTGAAAAAAATATGAAAGTAATCCTAATAGTGATTTTTAAAGTTCTTCATCGATTATTACTCAGAATAATTATTTTTCTTTGAAATTAAGTGAAGTGAAAAGAAGATATATTATAAAATAAAATTAAAAACATATATCTTTGGACATTTATAATTAAACAAAGATTATCAAGATATATCTTTGAATGAATGTGACGAAGATATTGTGATAAAGATTCATCTTTGAATGAAAATCAATAAAGATTTGCCTTTAAACTCTTAGATTATGTTGAATATTATGAAAAATGATAGAGATCTGTTTTTAGATTATGACAAAAATTTAGGTTAGCCTTTAGATAAAATTTATCTTAAGATAATGATAATACATAGTTATTTCCTCATAAAAAAAAATGTTCATTATCAAATGTAATGTCAATTAAATGTACATGTATGAATTTTATACATTCTATTTTTGTAATCTATTCCGTAAAATTACATCAGTATTTAATAAATGAACTCGTCTTATATTTTATGAATTTTTTGTATCATTATTTTTGATTGAAATTACTTCATTAATGCATCCCTATAGTCAATCCATGCGGAGACTGAAATGATAGTTGAAAAAGATTCCTTTGGTTCCTCTCATGAGAAGGTAATCCAATAACCAAGACTGATCTCAGTGACAAAATAATAGATATTTTTTTTTTATCGATCGTTTGGGACCTACTAGATGCTGAAAGATATCTTTCCAAAGTTGTTTGTCGAGAATCATTTTATATGGTTTAATATTACAAGCTTTAATAAATAAATCCAGTTTCACAAATTTCTAGATCAACAACAATTCTTCCATAGATGTATCGAAAAAAAAAATAATTGAATAATAAATAGTAATGAAAATGAAATAAATCTTCAAGAGACAATAGTATTCATATTATTTTACTGATAACTTACTGAAGAAGATTTGAGCAGAAGATATTTCTGATTCTTTTCAAAAATTAGGCGAATTGAATTTTAATGTTGGAATGTGCTGTAAACAATTTTCCTCTTCATTGATTACATTATAATCATATTATCATTAAGAAGTAGAAGTTTAATAAAATTTCAAAAAAATTTAAAGACATTTCTTTTTGTAAACTTGGAAATCAGATGTGATTTGTATAATTATTTTTGTGCACAATGACAAATTATAATAAAAGATTTATTTAAAAATATAATAATAACTATTAGCTTGATAATCATTAATTTATAGCATGTGATTTACAACGATCATCTTTGCATACTGATTCCTTTCTTTCATTCTAAAGTTTTTACAATATCTCTCTTCTCACTCTTGCAAGAATATTAAGAAGTAGGATATTTTTATTTTTTTTTTGGCTGTACTTATAATTTAGATAATTTAGATGATATGACTGTAAAAATAGTATAAAGGTTGTACTTTTAGAATTAAAAACAAGGTTTTACATTATTTTTCTTTGAAAGAAATTTAAGATTTCAAAAATTTCAAGGTCATTTTGTCTTTCCTTTTTCACTTTTGCTTGCTTGCTTCCTTGTTAATTTGGTTCACATTGCTATTTTCACCATTTTACATGACCTTCATTTACATTTCTAAAAAAATTATTAGATTATATAAGTTCTCTTACTTTGGCACGTGACTGCATGAACTGATCTTATTTGTTATATTATTAATAATAATTCGAGAACATTTTAATTTCTAATTCTACTTTATATTAATGATTTTATTGATATTTTCCAACAATTTCTTTACTTTTACTAATAATTTTCTTTTTTTATTACTTTATTAATACTGATCAACAAGATGAATAATTTAAAGAGAAAAGTTGGAGATATCCTTAATGATAGTGTTATTGAAAAAAAAGTACAAAACTCAGGAAAAAAGAAGGCCAAGGTTGCAGCTGGCAATGGAGAAGGTTCATCAAATGTTAAAGAAAATGGAGATTCATTATCTAAAAAATCAAAACAAAGACAAAAGACAAAGAGTCCAAGAGAAGCAAAATTTAAACAAATTTGTAACAAAGTTAGAATTAATTCATGTATAATTTAAAACTTGGGTTATATATTTATTTATTTAAATATATTTATTCTAATATATATATTTTAAATATTACAGGATACAAAAAAAAGAATTGAACGAGCTTTAACCCAACGCATGTATTTGGTAAACTGTAAAGAAATCAACCCAACACGACGAGAGTATACAATTTTAGGCCCGACTGGATGTGTATGTAGATAAATTAATTATGTGTAACAATTTTTTACCATTTACATTACATTATATCATATCTTCTTTACTTCTTTACTTTAGGCTTACACCACAGTCATTACAAATACTCTGTTATGTTCCTGTCCTGATTTCCAAA